CGCCGCGGGTTAGGAAGCAAGTCTGCAGGAAGGAGAGGAAGAGCTCCAGATGCTCCATCACAGTGACCACCATTATCCTCATCCCTGTCGTCAGCGAGAAGCGAGGAGAGGTGGGACTCAGAGGGAGGGCCGGGCCCGTGCTGGCCTGGCCACACTCCTCCCAGCCCACCCGCCTGCTCTCACCTGCACGTGTTTATTGAGCACCTACTATGTGCCCAGCTCTGTGCAAAGCAGAACGGGACAGATGCCTCTCCTCATGGGCCTGGAGCCGAGCCCAGGCTGACAGAGGAGCCCCGTTGAGGCACAGGAAGCGAGCCCCGAATGCTCACAGCTATGGTGACAAGGAAACGGCATCGGCGGGGAGAGCGGCCGAGTTCACGAGGGGCAGCCTGGCCACAGGGCGGGGCATCCCAGCGAGGAGGGCGCGGGCTCCGGCTGCCAGCAGGCCTCCCGGTGCTGTCCGGCTGCAGAGCGGGGCCCTGCTGGCCTTGGGCACAAGGGATCAGGCCCCCTCGAGGGCGGAGGAACCAGGGACTGTTCAGAGGGGTTTTCTCCAGAGGAACCAGGGAGGGATTCAACTCCGCCTGGCAACACTGACTGAACACCTACTGTGTGTGTGTGTGTGTGTGTGTGTGTGTGTGTGTATGTGTGTGCACGTGCGCATACATGTGGGTGCATGTGCACATGCGGCGTGCATTTGTGCTATGGGCTGTGTGTGCAGGTGTGTGGTGTACACATGGCTGAGGCTGTGGGGCTTGGAGCAGCGTGGATCTGGGTCTGATTTCCGGGTGGCCAGGCACAGCTGGCAGGGACACGTCCCGGGGGCTGGTCTGACAGTGGGGCACCCCGGCCGCCTGGGAAGGCTTGGAGCCATCACCCCTAACAGCCACTCAGACAAGTGCGGGCTGAGCCCCACTGTGCGCCAGGCACCGCTCCTAGCGCCGGGGACGAGGGCCCTGCCTGGGGGGTCCGACCTTGCAGTCGGTGTGATGGGGGCCAGACACAGACCAGTGGCCGGTGACTGCGGGGAGCGGGGGTCGGCGTTGGGAGTCCTGAGCGGCGGGGTGGTGGGGCTGGGAGTGCCTGGGAGGGAGCCGGGCCTCACGGGGAGATGGTGGAGGAAAGCTGGCGGGGAGGGCGCCGTGTGGGGGAGCGGCCAGCCTGGGGGACCCCCGGCCGAGGGGCCTCCAGGGACGGGGCAGTTCTCCCCATGGAGCTGGGCGGCGGGAGAGCGTGCTGAGCGCCCGTCTGTCCGGGATACAAATCCCTGGCTGAACCCCGGCAGCCGCCTGGGGGTTCGGGTTTTGCAGGGGTAGAAGGTAAATGCCCGGAGATGCCCGCCAGCCAGGTCTGCAGCGGGAACCCACACCCAGGGAGCTGGAGGCCTCAGACCCGCAGAGAAGCGGTGGGAGGGTCGGGGTCTGCGTTCTGAATGGCGGCTGCGGGCTGTGGCCGCTTCCTCTGTAACCATCGTCACCGTGAACCCCCTCAGGCTGGCCTCCCACAGGCACCAAGCACCCCGTTCCCTCTGGGGCCACAGCACTTCTTGGCCTCAGTTTCCCCTACCTGACCCTCTGGGTCTCCCGGGAGTAGATGCCCATGGGGCCCTGTCAGGTGATGGTGACGGCTTTTCTGTCTTGACTCCGCCATGAGCTGTGTGACCTCAGGAAAGTCACTGAGCCTCTCTGAACCCCGGCTTCCTGATCTTAAAGTGGGGTGAGCCTGGTCCCTTCGGCACGGGAACGTGGGGGGAAGATGAGCCCCCGGGTGACCGAGCCTCGGGATACGTGAAACTGAACAGAGAGGGGGACAGAGGGACACACATGAGACACGAAACTCCTGCAAATCCAGTTAGCCGCCCGGCCACCGGGAGAGAGCCAGGGCCGGCGGTGGAGGCCGCTCTGCCCACCGGCTGGCTCTCCGGCCGCGGGCACAGGCCCGGTGAGCGGGGAGGGGCCCGAAGCGGCTGCCCCGCCGCGGGCTGCGGACCGCACGCTCCCCGGCGGCAGCGCCGTGTGATCCTCTGCGTGTTTCACACGTGAAAAAGCTCCTAATCAGACACCCATCCCTTCTTCTGGGCTCGGCCGGGACACAGGACCGGGGCCCGGACCCGTTCCCCAAGGCGCTGGCACAGACACAGGCTGGACGCGGCGCCCTGCCTGGGGTCCTCCTGACCTTCCAGAGGGCGGGAGAAGGCAGACCCAGGGGTTCGCTGGAAATCCAGAGGGCCATGGATCATTGCTTTTTGTTGTTATTGTTTTATATATGTGTGTGTGTGTGTGTGTGTGTGTGTGTGTGTGTATATATAATTTTATTGATTTTTTACAAAGAGGAAGGGATAGGGATAGTTAGAAACGTTGATGAGAGAGAAACACTGACCAGCTGCCTCCTGCACACCTCCTACTGGGATGTACCCACAACAAGGTACATGCCCTTGACCGGAATCGAACCTGGGACCTTTCAGTCCGCAGGCCGACACACTATCCACTGAGCCAAACTGGTTAGGGCAAGTTGTTTATATTGTATTTTTTATTGATTTCAGAGAGGAAGAGAGAGGGAGAGAAAGACAAAGACATCAACGATGAGAGAGAATCATTGATCGGCTGCCTCCTGCACGCCCCACACTGGGGATCAAGCCCGCCACCTTGTCCAGAATCAAACCTGGGACCCTTTGGTCCACAGGCCGACGCTCTAGCCAATGAGCCACACCAGCCACAGGGCGAGGGGATCACTGTGGATGGGACATGGACCATCTGACTTCCGTCCACACGACACCAGGCGGCCAGCGGCCTTGTCTGGGAACCAGCGATGCCGGCCAGCGACGCCGGCCCGCGATGAGGCCACCAGGGTTTCCGGTGAGCTCTCCCCGCCCAGGCCCGAGCTGTGCCGGACGGCCGTCCCGCAGGCCAGGCGGGCTGTGGGCCCGGCTCCCTCGTCAGCAGGGGCCCAGCCGAGGGCCAGTCCCTGTCCTGGAAGTCTGAGCCGGGCTGTGCCTTTGGGAGCCAGGAGCCGCGAGAGACGGGGGCCCTGGTGTCTGCCCGGGGCACCGGGAACGGCCATTCCGGCTCCCTGGGGTCACGGAGGTTAAACCGTTTGGACTGAAAGCAGCAAACGGGACATTTCTGCATCGCAACCCAAGGCCCCAAAGCGTCGCTACCCTCACCGCGCGCAGAGTGTTCCGACGGCCTTCGTTCCGGTCCATCTCATTTTAAACAAATCGATGCTTTCGATACTGCTCATCGCCGCAGGGGGGAGTGGGGGGACGTCTGGGGATGAAACTGCCGCAGGCCGCGGCTGCGCTGGTGACCGTGACCTACAGGGTGTCGACATTCACGGGCTTGTGCGCGGAGGAAAGTCCATCTCACTGGCGTCCATTTAAAACAAAGTTTTAGGACGAGGAAGAAGGTGGCGGCCGGCTTCACGGTCCCCGAGGGTGCCCCAGGCCTCGGGAAAAGCCTGCGCCTCAGCCATCGCTCAGGCGGAGGGAGCTGCCCTCCCTCACCTGGCTCTGTCCCTCCCTCACCTGGCTCTGTCCCTCCCTCACCCGGCTCTGTCCCTCCCTCACCCGGCTCTGTCCCTCCCTCACTTGGCTCTCTCCCTCCCTCACCTGGCTCTCTCCCTCCCTCACCTGGCTCGTCCCTCCCTCACCTGGCTCTTCCATCCCTCAACTGGCTCTCTCCCTCTCACCTGGCTCTCGTCCCTCCCTCACCTGGCTCGCTCCCTCCCTCACCTGGCTCCTGTCCCTCCCTCACCTGGCTCTGTCCCCCCTCCCTCACCTGGCTTCTCTCATCTCTCGCTCCCTCACCCTCCTCTGGCTCTGTCCCTCCCTCACCTGGCTCTCTCCCTCCCTCACCTGGCTCTCTCCCTCCCTCACCTGGCTCCTGTCCCTCCCTCACCTGGCTCTGTCCCTCCCTCACCTGGCTCTGTCCCTCCCTCACCTGGCTCTGTCCCTCCCTCACCTGGCTCTCTCCCTCCCTCACCTGGCTCTGTCCCTCCCTCACCTGGCTCTCTCCCTCCCTCACCTGGCTCTGTCCCTCCCTCACCTGGCTCTGTCCCTCCCTCACCGCTCGCCTCTGTCTCCCTCCCTCACCTGGCTCTGTCCCTCCCTCACCCGGCTCTCTCCCTCCCTCACCTGGCTCTGTCCCTCCCTCACCTGGCTCTGTCCCTCCCTCACCTGGCTCTGTCCCTCCCTCACCTGGCTCTCTCCCTCCCTCACCTGGCTCTCTCCCTCCCTCATCTCGCTCTCTCCTTCCTGCAGTCACCGCCGCCAACGCTGGCCACGGAGCGTCCTCCGGGGTGGAACTAGGTAAGGAAGAGCCGCCGGGGCCTGGGTGGCAGGGGAGGGAGCAGGGCTGTGCCAACTAAGAAATCGGCACCTCCACCAGGGTGATCCCCCAGAGAATGAGAGAGAGAGGGGGTCCCCTACACACACACACACACACACACACACACACGTGCCGCATGACCCTGCTTCCAACCTTCTGGAGCCGGCAGGCTGATCTGTAGTGACAGGAAGCAGATGGGTGGTGGCCCGGGGCTGGGTGGGGTGATGGAAATATTCTATTTCTAGAGCAGGTGGTGAGGGGGCACACGTGTCTAATGCCACCGAGCACGTGCCCTCTCCAGTGAGTGCATTTCACTGTCTATAAATGGCACCCCAATAAAATTTATTTAAAATCGAAAGAGAGAGAGAGAGAGAGAGAGAGAAGCGGGCACTCGGCCTCTCTCGGGTCCGTGGAGACAGACGTCCCCAATCAGGCGATCCCGCTGGCCTGGTGCCCAGGGCCCTGCCCACTGACCGAGTCACCCTGGCTTTGGGGTCGCCTGGGCCAGGAGCAGCCCCAGCCTGAGTCGTGGGGAGTCCCTGCTGTGCCCCAAAGGGCGCGCTCACAGGGGCCGGCAGGCAGCCCGGGGGCAGGAGCCTGGCTGGGTGGGGGGCCAGGCGGAGAGCAGGGCATGGGGCAGTGAGGGGCCCTTCCCAGCCTGACCCGCCCCCTCTTTGACCCCTAGGGATCCCGATGAGACTAAGCGGCGCCAGCTCGCCCTGCCAGGGCCGCGTGGAGGTCTTCCTGGAGGGCCAGTGGCACCCAGTGGACAGCCGGAGCTGGGGCTGGAGCCCGGGCCGCCCGGGGCTCCCCAGCGTGGCCTCCCCACTCTGCCGGCATCTGGGCTGCAGGGAAGCCTTGCTCCTTGCCCCCATCCCTCACTTCAGCAGCCTCCCCAGAGCCCGGAACCACATCACCTGCCACGGAAGGCTGGGCTCCTTCTCCCACTGCAACGCCAGCGATGCCCACCAGGGGGAGCCCCTGAGCCTGATCTGCGTAGGTGGGTTCCCTTGGGCTGGGCACGCCCTGAGGAGGCCGCCCAGGGCCTGTGTCCTGGGGCCCCAACAGGCGGGTGGAAGGGGGTTCGGTGGGGAACTGGAAGGGGAAGGCGAGGGATTCTGGCTCCTGTTCAGAAGGATGGAAAAGGCTGAGGACCTGCTAACTCCACTGTCTCCTCCTAACCTCCGTTTTCCCAGCTGTAAAAGGGGCTGGTACCGCCACTCACGGGAGACTTAGAGACAACGTGAGGGCCAGGCGGTATTCACAGCATGAGTTCCAGGTCCTGCTCACCACTGCCTGCTGCCCTCCGCCCCCCACACCCCTCTTCCCTCCTCCCAGATCTTCTCCCTCCGGGGCCCCTGCCCCTCCCTCACCCGTGTCTCCTTGCAGAGCCACTGAAGACGGCCACTCCTCCCACAAGGCCTCTGCCCACAACCACCCCCGAGCCCACAGGTAAGAGGTTCTGAGGCCCCGGGGAAAGGGTGTCGGATTCAGCGATTAAACACAGGGGGTGCCCAGTTAGGTGCGAATCTCTAGTGGAACATTCGGGCCCTCACACTTCCCAGGGCCACCGGCCAGTCGTTCCTTTGTCCCAGTGTTGGAGCCGAGGGTCCAGGAGCCGGAGGCCCTGGCGCTCGCTCAGACGCACACTCTGCCCTCCCCAGCTCCTCCCCGGCTGCACCTGGTGCCGGGGCGCGGGGGCCTGCGCTGCGCGGGCGTGGTGGAGTTCTACAGCGGCCGCCTGGGCGGGACCGTGGCCTACGAGGACCAGGACGGCACCGAGGCCCTGGGGGACCGCATCTGCCAGGCCCTCCAGTGCGGCTCCTTCCTGAAGCACCTGCCGGAGCCCGAGGCAGCCGAGGCAGCCGGGACCCCCGCCCCAGAGGCGCGCAGGCCCTTGCCCATCCGATGGAAGGCCCAGAACGCCAGCTGTGCCTCCCTGGAGCAGTGCTTCCGAAGAGCCCAGCCCTGGGAGGCCGGCCGAGCCCTCGCCCTCGTCTGCTCTGGTGAGTGAGACGGGCAGGACCCAGGGCATCCCCAGACGGCCAGGCACCACGCGATCCCCAAAGCCTGCCCGTAGCACAGGGCAGGGAGGCGCACTGTGAACAGGAGGGCGGCAGGGGGCGCTGTCTGCCTCTGAGTGAGTGAGTGAGTGTGTGTGTGTGTGTGTGTGTGTGTGTTGGAGGGATGGAGGGTGGAGGGGGCTGTGGGGTCACCGTCCCTCGGCCACACCAGCTCCGTCTCCGCGGGAGGCCCTCTGGGGACGGCTTGGCACTCGCTCTGCCTGCGGCTCCCGGGCCTCCCACTCCCACTGTCGCTGCGACCCCGTCCGTCCGTGTCCGGCTTCCAAACCCCTCTCCCGGGAGGCTCGTCCTGCTCCGGCCCCAGCACAGCCACGCTTCCCGCTAGAACCTTCCCTCCTTCGCTCCACCCGCTCCACCCCTCCACCCGCTGCACCCCTCCACCCCTCCACCCCTCCACCCCGCTGCACCCCTCCACCCCTCCACCCCTCCACCCGCTCCACCCCTCCACCCCGCTCCACCCCTCCACCCCTCCACCCCTCCACCCCTCCCCCCGCTGCACCCCTCCACCCCCTCCACCCCTCCACCCCTCCACCCGCTCCACCCCTCCACCCGCTGCACCCCCCCACCCCTTCACCCCCGCCACACCCCTCCACCCCTCCACCCCTCCCCCCCCTCCACCCCCCCACCCGCTCCCCCCCTCCACCCGCTGCACCCCTTCACCCCTCCACCCCTTCACCCCTTCACCCCATCACCACCGCTCCCACCTCTCCACCCACTCCACCCACTCCACCCCTCCACCCGCTCCACCCCTCCACCCCTCCACCCCTCCACCCGCTCCACCCTCTCCACCCCTCCACCCCTCCACCCCCTCCACCCCCCTGCCACCCCGCCACCGCTCACCCCTCCACCCCTGCAACCCCTCCACCCCCTCCACCCCTCCACCCCTCCACCCCTCCACCCCTCCACCCCTTCACCCCTCCACCCCTTTCACCCTCCACCCCCTTCAACCCCTCCACCCCTCCCCCCGCTCCAACCCCTCCACCCCTCCACCCCCCTCCACCCCTTCACCCCTCCACCCCTCCACCCCTTCACCCCTCCACCCCTCCACCCCTCCACCCGCTGCACCCCTCCACCCCTTCACCCCTCCACCCCTTCACCCCTTCACCCCTCCACCCCTCCACCCCTCCACCCCTTCACCCCTCCACCCCCCACCCCTCACACCCCCCCCTTCACCCCTCATCCACCCTCAACCCTCCCCCTCCACCCCTTCACACGCACCCCTCCACCCTCACCCCTCCACCCCCTTCACCCCTCCACCCCTCCAACTCACCCCTCCACCCCTCCCACCCCTCCACCCCTCACCCTCCACCCCTCCACCCTCCACCCCTCACCCTTCACCCCCACCCCTCACCCCTCCACCCCTCCACCCCACCCTCACCCCTCCACCCCCACCCCCTCCACCCCCCACCCCCACCCCCCCCACCCCTCCACCCCCCCCCCCCCACCCCTCCCCCCCTCCACCCCTCCACCCGCTCCACCCCTCCACCCCTCCACCCGCTCCACCCCTCCACCCCTCCACCCCTCCACCCGCTCCACCCCTCCACCCCTCCACCCCTCCACCCCTCCACCCTCCACCTCCACCCCTCACCCCCACCCACCCCCTCTCCACCCCTCCACCCCTCCTCCCCCACCCCTCCACCCCATCCACCCGCTACACCCTCCACACGCTTCCAACCCCTCCACCCGCCTGCCACCCGCCACTTCCACCCCCCTCCACCCCCTCCACCCCTCCACCCCTTCACCCCTTCACCCCTCCACCCCGCTCCACCCCTCCACCCACTCCACCCACTCCACCCGCTCCACCCCTCCACCCGCTGCACCCCTCCACCCCACCCCCCCTCCACCCCCTCCACCCCCCACCCTCTACCCCTCCACCGTCCACCCTTTACCCCTCCACCCTCCACCCTCTACCCCACAGCCCCCTGCGGGCAGCAACCTGCCAACCACACCCAGGGCCTGGCCTTTGACAGTTGTTCGAAGGAGGAGATGCACTAGGACTTTGAAGGCAGATGTTGCCATGGAAACTGGCCAAAGCTGGTGCGATCACTCCTCCAGACGGCGCAGTGGGGCCCCACCTGAGAGTGAGAGTCCGCCTGCCCCTCCTCCGCGCAGGGCATCCCTGGCTGCTGTCCCACCTGCCATCGGCCAGGACTGGGGCCTCAGTTTCCCTTTCTGAAAAGGCGCAGAGGAGAGGGAGAGGACATGTCCACCTCCCCCGCCCTCCCCTCAGCGCCACGTGGACAGGGCCAGCTGCTGGCAGCTGCCAGAGAGGATGCCCGGCGCAGGGAAGGGCAGAAGGCCGTCCCACAGCATGCCCAACCCCCTGTGAGGTGGCCCCCGCGCCGGCCTGCGGGCCCGGGCCAGGGGCTTCCTGCAAAGCCGCCACCTCTCCTTGCTTCCTCCCCCAGATTTCCAGCCCCAGGTGCAGAGCCGCCTGGTGGGGGGCCGCGGCGTGTGCGAGGGCTCCGTGGAGGTGCGCCAGGGCCAGGGCCGGCAGTGGGAAGCCCTGTGCCACAGCCCCTCGGCCAGGGGCGCGGCGCGGTGGGCGGAGGTGTGCCGGGAGCAGCAGTGCGGGCCCGTCAGCTCCTACCGCGTGCTGGAGGCCGGCGAGAAGGCCTCGCGGGGGCTCGTCTGCCCCGGGGAGCGGCTGTCCCAGTGCCACCAGCTCCAGGAGCGGAGAGCCCACTGCAAGCGGGTGTTCGTCACGTGTGAGTGGGCCACACCCCGCGGGTGGGGCGGAGGGCGGTCCTGGGCTCCCCCTAGGGCCCGGTCAGGAGCACGTTTCCGAAGAACAGGCCCCGGAGCGGGACAGAGACTCCCAGGCCCCCCAAGAGGAGATGGCAAGCGGGGGGCAGAGGGGGCAGCAGTGCTCAGGTGCAGTGAGCGGTGAAGAGGGTGGAGTCAAGCAGGGGACGGAGGGAGCCGATTAGCTGCAGGAGCAGTAACCGGGTAACACGTTAGAGAGACCACGTGCTGGGGCCATGTACAATGGCGAGGGGTAGAAAGCTCAATAATTGGTTACGGAAGTGGCAAGTGACAGCTGTCAGGTGGTAAAAGGTCGAGGGGTGAATGTGTAGCAGAATCCCCGAGGCAGCAGAGAGGCGGCCAGACGCATGGGCCGGGGACTCCCTGGCAGAAGCCAGCCAGCAGCCACCCCCCGACTGGACAGGTTTGATAGAGGGGTGGGCCGCCCTGACTCCTCTGCCCCCCCCTCCGCCCCCCAGGCCAGGACCCCAACCCGGCGGGCCTGGGCACCGGCACGGTGATGAGCATCGTCCTGGCCCTGGTGCTGCTGGCTGTGCTGCTGGTCACGTGCGGGCCCCTCGCCTACAAGAAGCTGAAGAAATGTAGGTGCAGGTGCCCCCGCGACCCCCCTCAAGGGCCTGTGTGGGGGGACGAGGAGGGTCCCACCTCTGCTCCCCCCACACACCTCCCCCCTCACTCCCTCCTCCTCCCTCGCCCCCCCTGCCCGCTTCCCCACTGGCCTTTTTCTGCCCAAAGTGGCAAACAGGAAGTCAGGAAGCTGTAGTTGCTGATTCACCCACGTGGGGGCCCATCTGAGACCCACTCCGGGCCAAGGGGGGGCGGGCCATTCTTTAGGGGTGACAGGCCCTGAGGGGCGCCTGCACGGCCTGACCTCAGGAGACGGGTGTCCTAGGCCGAGCCACCCCACAGTGTGCATGATGGTGACCAGCCCCCTCCTCTCTGAGCCTCAGTGTCCTCAGCTTCCAAACGGTGGCTGCTCCCCGTGAGGCACATACACAGCGGGCCGTGCTCCCTGTCCTGCAGAATGCAGGAGCTCAGACAGGGCGTGAGGTTGAGGGCTGCGAGGGCAGGCCGAGGCGCAGGCCGGCGGGTCCCCCCCAAATCCCCCCGACCCCCGTCGCGCTCCCAGGTCTCCTTTCTGGTGCGGACCACTGAGCGGACAAACAGCGCCTCTAGCGTGAGAGGAGTGCAGCTTCCTGACCAGCGAGTCAGAAATCAGAGGCCCCCCGAGTCCAGCAATGCCCCCGCCCCCGCCTCCCCCCCCCCTCCCCGCCTCATCTACCGTCTGACGTGCTTTCCGTCTGCCGCCCAGGCCGACAGAAGAAGCAGCGCCAGTGGATTGGCCCGACAGGGCTGAACCAGAGCAGTAAGTGCCCGGAGGCAGGTCCCGGGGTCCGCAGGAACGGGCGGCAGGGATGGGGCTCAGGTGCAGCTGGCCCGTCCAAGAAGCATGGAAGAGGGGGGCAGGCTGGGGAGCGTGGGAGCAGGAGTCAAGCTCTGGGCCCCGCTGGGCGGAGCAGCAGGTGGAACGGCGCCGTCTCTGTCCGTCCGCTCAGTGTCCTTCCACCGCGATCCCGGGACCACTGTCCGCCGGTCGCAGGTGGAGAACCCCGCCGCCTCGCACCTGGAGAACGAGTACAGCCAGCCTCCCAGGAGCTCCCAGCTCTCCGCGTACCCAGGTGGGCGCGGGGCGTCCCGCCAGCCGGGCACAGGGCACGGGGCCGGGCACAGGGCACGGGCAGAGGTCATGGTCACCGAAAGGGAAGGCGTCTGGGGAGAGGGGAGCCGGCCTGCCCAGCGCTCACGGCCGGGGGTGGAGGGATCCGGCCCACAGGCCACTCAGCCGAGAGGCCACAGCGCAGGCTGTGCCCATAGCCCGTTCTCTGCGGCCTCACAGCCGGGTGGTCACCAGGCAGAGCAGCCGCCATGGCTGAGGGAGCCCTGTGAACAAGCTCCCTGACCTCCTGACCCCAAAGCCAGGGAGCCCCGCACTGCAAGCTCCTGACCTCCTGACCCCAAAGCCAGGGAGCCCCGAGTTCAGCATCCTTAGTCAACATTTCGCTGATTTGATCAAAACAGACCCAGGCCCTCTGATCTTCCACACCCGTGGGCTGGGCTCGGGGGCTCTGGGCTGGTGGGGGCTCTGGGCTGGTGGGGGGCTCTGGGTTCTGGGGTGCTCTGGGATCTGGGCTCCGAGGGCTCTGGGCTGGTGGGGGCTCTGTCGGTGTAGCTGGTGGGTCAGCCCCGAGGTGGCCTTTCTGCCTGCAGCTCTGGAGGGCGCCCTGCATCGCGTGTCCGCCCAGCCCGATAACTCCTCCGACAGCGACTACGACCTGCACGGGGCTCAGCGGCTGTGAGAGGTGAGCGCCCCCCGCCCCCTCCCCCGGCCCCCAGACAGGCAGCAGCTCTGGGCCCCTGCCTGCCCGCCCACGACAGGGGTCCCAGCCTTGGCTCCCGTCAGGGAAAGAATGAACATCCAGGGTGAGGGAGTGACCTGGCAGGCAGAGCGGGGACTCGCGACCTCCACACCACCTCCCTCCCTCTGTCCGGGAGCCCCCCCCCCCCCCCCCAGAAAGGTCGCCCTGACCCTGACACTGAGCCCATCTTGGGGTGAGGTCCCGTCTCTGACCCGTGTCCTTCTCACCCACAGACCCAGGAACGGAGCGAACATCGGGAGCCAGCCCGGGTCCGAGAATGCCCTGCCCTGCCTCTGCCGCTTGAAACACGTCTGACTCCTCCCCGCGGCCATGGAAGAGGCCGGCCTCCCCCACCCAGCCTGCCTGCCCCGCAGAGCCGCCCGGGGAGCCTGCAGGACCGCTGGCAGCCTGGCAGCTGAGGGCAGAGCCCGCCAACAAGCAGCCCCCCGAGTAGAGACGGGGGGGGGGGGGAGGCCCTGGGAACCTCACCTGGCCTGTGGGAAGCTCCTCACATGGGCCCCGCGAGGACTGACGGAAGCACACACAGGGCCGGCATGGGAGCCGAGGTCTGTGTATTTAACATGCTCTTTGTAAGTAACGGCTTTCCTGCTTCCTGAGGACTGAGTGCCCAGCTCCTCCGTCCCTGAGGGAGGCGAACAGCCCTTGTGGTCAGAGCTGCCCCCGGACCCGGACAGCCTAGCAGGCCGAGGCGGCTGGAGCAGGGCGTGGTGTGGGTGCCCTGACTCCACGTGGCCACCTCCCCCAGCGCCCCAGCACCCCGCATCCATGGCTCCCCGACAGCCCTGCTTCCAGAGCTGGCTGTCACAGCCCAAGGCCCAGGGCCCCCTCAGACCCTGCACAGGGGGCACCTGGCAAACCCGAGCCGACGTGGGGAAGTGCCAGGCTGCAGGGGTCATGGTCACCTCCTGCTGCAGTGAGAGCCGGGGCTGCGCTGTCCTGGGGCCAGGGAGCTGCTCCCAGGAAGTCTCACCCTCAGCGGGGCCGGCTCCCAGCGAGTCCTGCAGTCCTGGGGTTCCTTAAGGAGAGAGGAGGGCGGGCGGGCCTCGCTGGCCCCGGGCATCAGAACCCCCGGGCACGGGCAGCAGCCTGAAGACGCCGTGGGTCTGGGCCCACACCCAGGGCCCAGCCGTCCAGCCACCCTGGGGAGCAGCAGGAGCAGGGTGACTATTCGATGCTGGGGGGAGGGATGCCCTCAGTGCCAGGCCAGAGCTCTGCCCCACAACACCCTTCCCCAGACCTCCTCACCCAGTGCCCAGCATCCCCATCCGTGGCTCCCCGCTCAGGGGCCCAGCCCAGGACAGCCTGGGCCCATCCAGTGCTGGGCGGGGGAGGGGGGCCACTCGGGGCGGCAGAGGGTGTGCAGCAGATGCCCACCTCGGCCTCTTCGCCAGAAGCTCCTTCATCTCCTGCTTGGCCCATGCAGCCCGGCCTGAACCCCTGCCCCAGAGCTGCCCGGGGCAGACGCCTCCTTAGAGACCGCTTTCTGAGGGCAGCAGGTGGCGAATCCCAAAAGGGTCTGCCTCAGGCCCCGCCGGGAGCCCCCTCAGTTCCAGCCTTGGCGGGTGGCCCCAGCCCCGGTCAGGATGACGCCAATCGGCAGGGAGCGCTCCCAGGGGCTCCTCGGCCCTAAAGGATGCCGGCGGCCTCCACAGTGACCCGGCGCCTCTGGGCCCACTCCTCCTTACAGCCGCTGCCTGACCAGAGCGGGGCGCCCTGAGCCAGAGAGGGCAGTGCTCCCTGTGCGGCCGGCTCCCCTAAACCGCGCTCCCACCTGGGCAGAGGCAGGCGCCCGTGCGCCTGATTCCAGCACAGCCTCCTCCTGTGAAGCCAGGGAAACGGAGCGCCGGAAGCGAAGCCCTGACTCCCCAGCACGTCTGGCTTCACGCGGCCAGGCCCGGGGCCTGGGTGTGCGGCTGGGAGGGACCCCGCGCCGCCAAGGACACCGGATGGCCTCGCCCCAGCTCGCTCAGCCTGTGCGTCCTTGCTCACTCTGATCCCACCTTTCTCGTCGGCTTCCCTCTCAAGCCTGCCATGTCCACGTCGCCGGTGTGACATTAAGGCAGAGAGGCAGGGGTCCTCCGGCAGCCCGCTCTGCGCAGGAGGCCCACAGGGGCCCGCTGTGGTCTGGCGAGAACTCCGTGATTTCCGTGGTGCGTGCGGTGGGGAGGGCTGCAGAGAGCTAGACTTGGTGTGGGAGAGCGGGGCCAGAGGGGTGCCAGGCGCTGACTGACCGGGGAAGCAGCTCTGACCCGTCCTTTCTCAGAAAGCGGCACTTCCCTCTGCATCCTCTGCCCCCTCAGAGCAAGTGCCCTGCCACCAGGTGGCCAGCTCTCCCACCAGCCCCGGGCATTTGGAGGCCAGGCCGGACGGAGTCCAGGAGGCAAAGGCGGGACATCTGTGGGGCCCGGAGGTCTCCAGTGTGGGCTCTGACCCCCGGGGCTGTGGTACCACAAGGCATGGAGGGGCCCCCGAGGCAGACAGAGCTGGGTGCCAGTCCCGCCCGCACCCTTAGGCTGTGCACACACACACACACACACCCCTCCCCAGTCACTGAACCTCTGCCCTTGTTTAAAATGGGGGGAGGGGCATAGGGCTGCTGAGAGGACCCAGGCAGGCAGGCACAGTGACACATCACACCCACACAGCCCGGCTTTCAACAGGCTGACGGCGCATCCGGCCTCGTCACCTGGCAGGGCAGAGCGGAAGGCCCAGCAGAAACCTGGTCTCCGGGCTCCCGGAAGCCACCGTTTTCCCAGAAGGCCTTGCGATAACCCGCTGAGCTCAGGGGTGCTGGGTGACGGAGGGAGGGGCAAGGGGACAGGGCCCGTGGCAGGGACCACCCGCCTCCTCAGCCAGCTTAGTGGCCCGCTGCCCCTCGGTCCCCGTGAGAAACTGGGCAGCAGACAGCCCCCAGTGGGCTCCGGGACAGGCCGACAGCAGGTGTCCCCATCCCGCAGGCAGGCGCTGGCCTCCCCTCGCACAGCCCGGCTGTCCCCCAAGGACAAGGACGGACAAGGACAGGCAGCTGCAGGCCCGGGCGTGGCCGTGCCGGAGGGAAGTCGCAGGAGGGAGAGCAATGCTCAGCGGGAGATAAGCCAGAACAGTGGGGCTCTGGGCCCCGAGTCGGGAGGCCCTCAGGTGGCGGAGAAATCGTGCCCCCGCCCCCCAGCCTCTGCACTTCACCCCCGGAGCCACAAGGCCACACAGAGCTCAGTTTATTGGCAATTGTTCAGACAACACACACGTCGCCGTTGTCCAGGTCCACGCGAGACCCGCGGAGTCCATTAGTGATTCCTCTTCATAAATAACAGCAGCAAGAGCCTGGGAGGCCACGGGGAGAGCGGGCTCTGCCACGCCCCCTGCTGCCCGCGGGCTGGAGCGCAGGCACCAGGAGGGCGCGTTTCCCCGAGGCCCCGGCCACCGGTGCGGGCAGTGGACATTTCAAGGCACATAGGACCCCCACACAGCAGCTCCGGGTCTGCCTCAGGCCCACCACGCCCGCGCTGTGCGCACCCCCGCGGTCTGTGGTCATGACTGAGCGCGCTGCCCCATGTGCTGGGCCAGCCGGGGGCTGCGTGTGGCTCTACATTCTGAGGACGAGACATGCAGACTCCCACATGGCACCGGTGTCCTCGCACCCCTGGGGGCACTGTCAGGGAGGGGAGTGTGTGTGGGGGGGGCATTCCATCCAGGGAGCCAGAGGGAGGGGTGAGGACGGGGCTGCTTCCAACGAGATTCAAGGCACTGACGAGTGGACAGCTGGGTGGGCCTTGGGAAAGGTCAACCGGGAGAGCGGGTGGCAGGGAGGCCATGAGCTCCTGGGCCAGAGCTGCTCCCTCCCGTCCAGCCAGAGGGCCCACGGCACCCCCAGGACTTCCCGGCCAGCGCAGGCGAGGTCTGGGCCCCCTTCACCGTCCGTCTTCCCGCTGCGCTGGCTCGGCTGCTGTCACTCAGCACACAGCACGCGTTTTCTCCGACACTAGCCCACCAATTATGGCTTTTTGACTTAAAAATCAAAAGGGTTTTTCCTAACTGTTCTCCCTGGAACCCAACTCTGACGATGGTGTGTGGGGCGGGCCATTCTCGAATGGACGAGAGACACAAAGAGCTACACCCCGGGGGGTGGGCACCACATGGAAGACGCCAAACCAGAGGCGGGGTGAGCAGGGGCCCAGACCAGCTGCCCCAGAGCCGTCCGCACCGTTTGGAGAGTGGAGGCAGGCACAGGACACAGTCGCGCTGCACAGCGGCTCCTGCAGACGCCACGGGGGGGCGCTGGACCCCAAGCTGGCAGCACCGGACAGGCGAAGCCAGGCAGCGCTCTGACCGCTCGGTGTCCTTCCAGGGTCTGCAGGCCCCCAGCCAGGCCCCAAGTCCAGGGGGGAGCCAACCCCACTTCCAGTCTAACCTCAAATCTCAGCATGGGGGGGCCAAAGTGTGGCTCAGGCGGAGAGGGGAGGGCTGAGGCCAGGGTCCTAATACCTAGGCCAGGCAGGACCCTGAGGTGGCGGGAACCCGTAGGGAGGGGCCGGCCCTTGGGGGTAGGGAGGCTGAGGGGGGCCTGTGGGCTGGGGCTGGCCTGGGAAGGCGGGGAACTGGGGCTGCGTGGGGTAAGGGGGTTTCCCTCCCGCCGAGGGGTAGGAGGGCTGTTGAGGATAGCCAGGACTGCGAGCCCGGCCGCCCGCCAAGGGGTACCCGGGCCCAGAGGCACCAGGGGCGGGCGCGGGATAGCCAGGCCGGGGCGGTGTGCTCCGCTGCGGGGACCAAGAGTAGCCCCCCGCAGCCCGGGGCCCCGGCTGGGCTGACGGGAAAGGGGGGCCCAGGGGCCCGCTGTAGGAGAAGGAGGGCTGGGACATGACGGGGAAGGGCGCCGGCGGCAGCGCGCCCTGGGCGGTGGGGCCCATGGGCAAGCCGGGAGACGGGCTGTAGGGCAGCGGGTAGGGGGGCAGCCCTGCCGCCTGCGGGGCCGGGGGTGGCTGCTCCTCGGCCGCAGGGGGGGTTGCCTGGGGGGCCGGGCGAGATGGGGGAGGCGGGCGGAGAGGAGGGGTGCCGGCGCCCGCGGGCTCCTGGGAAGCTCTGGGCTTCCTCACCACGTCCTGGAGCTTCTCCACGCGGACCCGGCGCAGGTGCGACAGCCTCCGCATGGCCGCGAAGTCCTCCAGGAACGTCTCCAAGGGCACCTCGCCCTCCAGGAACTTCTCAGCCATGGCCTGGGCACAAGGTGGGCGACAACCGGGGCTGCTGGGACCGAAGCCGCCCCTTCCCCCATCCCCCATGCCCCGCCAAAGATGAGCTGTGGCCTTCCCCCCTCACCCCCCCTCCTCCACGTTCCCCACCTCCCCGGGCGCATCTCTGCTGACACGGCCCCACGTGCTCCTTCTGTCTCCCGCTGAGTGTCAGCTCGGGGCAGGGGCCCAGCGGCTGCTGCAGGGACGTGCTGAGGGAGTGGTGGGCACTGGCTACTGGGTCTAGTGCAGCCGGCCCGGGGCTGGCAGGGCCTGGCAGCTTCCTCCCAGCGCACAGAGACTGAGAACGCTCGGAGGGAGCGGAGAGAGGCTGGCCAGGCCCAGGTGGTGGTGGTGGTGGGGTGCCCCAGTCCTCGGGGGCTCCTGCTGCTCTGTCCTCGGTCCGTCCTAGTCAGCCAGCTGCCCATGACCTTGCAGTCGCTCACTCATTTCTGCTTCAGCCTGGGAGCCTGGGTTCCTGCTCTGTGTGTCCCAAAGGCCCTCCCTGGGACAAAGGGTGGGACTCATCTGTGCCACCTGCTCGTGCGCCCTCACCCCTGCAGACACCGGCGCTCATGTCAAAGGCTCAAGGGGAGGGGGGGTAAGACCACCTCACCTCAGACTCCTCTTCTATCTTCATGCCTTCGATCTGCAGCAGGTCTAACAAGGCCCCCGGCTGCAGCGCCCCCGAGAATTTCTCTGCAACAGAGGGCGCAGGGGTCAGCATCTCGGCAGTGCCTCCACGGCAGCCCTGGAGTAGGTTTCGGCCCTGTGTGCGCCCGGCCAGGCCCCTGGCGGCTGAGGAGCTCAGCGGGCCCAGCCCTGCCCTGCCCTGCCTCTCAGGGGAGTCACTGCACCGTCCAGAGGACGGAGCCTCACCTTCAAGGCCAGGACACGCCTCCCAGCCTCCCCGACGGGGTCCCCGGACAAGAGAGCCTCACGGGCTCTGGGGAGCGCAGAAGCAGAGCTGGCCCAGCAGCCTCCTGGTCCCCCCTATGAAGTGAGTCACAGCGGGACCACCCTCAGGGCACGGTGAGGAATGCAGGGCTGGGACTGGGCTGCAGTCACTGGGGCCCCCGCCCTGGGGGCGAGCAGGCTCCCCTCTCCCAGCAGCTCGCCAGGCCCCCCCTGACCGGGACCCCTCGGTCAGCCAGCCTACCCAGCTTGGCCTTCTGCTCCTGGCACCGCTCCACGAGCTTCCGCAGCTCCTGGTACTTGTCCGAGAGGTTGGAGCGGCTGATCTCCAGGGGCCCTTGGAACTCCAGGTTCCGCTCGGCCAGGCTGCGGTTGGTGGCCAGCGCCATCTCCCGCTCCAGCTGCAGGTCCTGGACCTGAGGGAGGGACACCTGGCTGAGGACCACCCCACTCAGCAGGCGGCAGGCTGGCCCAGGCCTCGGGGGACCCGCAGGCCTCAGCCCACGGCGAGAGCCGAAGGACCGCAGCCAGCCCCCGACCGGCACCTCCCGAATCCTAGGCCATCGGCGGTGGTGGGGACACGGGGACACTGGCGCAGGCCACAGCTGGCCCCAGGCCGGGATGGGGCACCATGGACTGAGCAGAGCAAGGGAGCGGGGGGGAGGGGGGGGGGAGAGGGGAGGACCAATTTATAGGAAAAGCCGCAGGCTTTGCAGGAGGGAAGGGACCAAGAGCCCCAACCACTTTCCACAGGATTCAGAGTAAAGAAACCCACTCTGAGGTGGACCACGGTGGCCCAGGCCAGACCCCCGTCCCCAAAGGGTGAGCGAGCCAGGGACAGAGAGGGCACTGACTCAGGAGACGCTCCTGCCTCCTGGGCCGCGTGTCCTGCAGAGAACTGTGCATGAGCTGACAGAGGGGCCCCCCGGAACTGGGCTGACATTTCAGGGGAGGCTCTGGTTGGGTCCCAACCAGGGGAAGACCACAGAGAGGGAGATGAACTTGACCCCAACTCCCAGCCAGCAGGGCTCTGGAGCGCCGGGACCCTCTGTCGGCCTTCACCGGGCCACGCCAGCCTGCGTTACCTCCGGGGCCTCCTGGGCCAGCCGGTCGATGGCCTCTGGGTCGTTCTGCATCTCCTCCAGCTCCTGCAGGGTCTTGTCTTTCAGCGTCTCCATCGCTCCCTGTGGACACAGCGCCGTGTGACTGAGGGCAGAAGCCGGGGGAAGAGCCGTGTTATCCGTGCAGACTAAGGAGCTTCCTGAGGATGCTCCCGCTAGGGCGGCTCCAGGCAGGAGGGGTCCCCCTTTCCTGCCGCCCTGCCCAGCCCTCTCCCCAAGGAGACCAACGCCCTCGGCAGCCAGAGGAAGCACAGATGGTGCTCCCCGAGGAGCCGGTGGGAGAGGCAGGCGGGGAGCGCCCCGCGGCCAGGGACGGAGGAGAAGCCGGCCCCGGGCGACACCAGCACCCACTCTGGCAGGCGCCTGTCTCCATCGGAACCAGGAATGCGACCCCCTCACCGGACCTGGTGGGCTGCACCACCGCCGCCTCCAGTGCTGCTGCTGGTTGTGTTTAGGGCACCGCAGCCTCGGGCCCCCTCGGGGGTCTCTAAAACTGTCGTGGACATGGCAGGCTTAGGAGGGAAGCCGACGAGAAAGCAGAGGCGGCGGGACAGAGGAAGTGCTACTTCCAGTCCCACTGTGGCCGGTGACATCGCACCTGAGAACGCGCCGCCGGGACAGGGGCCGCCTCCGTTTCCCCTCAGAGAAAGGGAGGGGCACCTCCGGGGGCCACAGCAGGTGAAGAGAGAAGCAGAGAGGCCTGACCGCACCCCCACTGGCCAGGAGAGGCCCGCTTTCCCGCCGTGTCCCCGCGTAGCCGTGAGCGAGGGCCCTGTCCAGGCGCACAAACAGCCCCGTTTCGACACGTCCCAGGCAGACCTTGGTGATACGCAGTCTGGTCCCAGGTCCCAGCACAGAGCAAGTGTTGCAAGAGTGGGACTCCTCCCCCCGCTGCTGGAGGGCCTTGCCTTTGTCTGTAAGACACACACCCCTGAAACTCGACGGAGCAGGGTGCCTGAGCACAGCCCCCCCGTTTATAGAGCCACCCAGGCAGGGTCACATGGCGGCCGCTATCTACGGAGGCCGGCGGATCCCCAGGTCTGCGGGAAGGGTGTGCGTCTCTGGGGTGCACCCGAGCCCCGGAGACACTTGCCAAACATGCAGGTGCCTGTCAGGGCGGCAGGTGGACCCGACGGTCTCTCCAAGAGGTGCTGCCGTAGCCCGAGTCTGACATGCGCCGTCCCTCCCATCTGCCAGAGTAAATTCACACCGCACCCTGCCCACACTCCCCTGCTGCTCCCAACCCGGGCTAACCGCTGGCAGGCACAGCGGCTGCAAGGCCCCGGAGGAGCTGGGCTCGGAGGGCGCGAGGTGACGCTGCACGAGTGACCCGCAGGAGGGGACAAGCACTTCGGAAACAGGCCGGGAAGGGCTCGGGGAGACAGACGCAGGCCGGGTCCCGGGCCCTGCCCCTCACCAGCTGCAGGGCCTCGCCCAAGTGCGGGTGCCCTGAGCCTCGGGTTCTTCATCTGTGAGACGGGCTGGTGCAGGTTCAGTGCCGGCTTAGCATGAGGCCCGCCCTGGAACAAATGCCAGCGGAAGACTCCACCGCCACAGACCTTGGCGTTCCTCAGGCTCCAGGATGGCCCTGGGTCCCCGCGGCCCAGCGCCAGCCCTGCTCCACCCGGGGACCTGCCGGGACAGGAGCCCGCTCGCTCCGTCAGGCTGAGCACGGGGCACGCGGCTGAGAGGAAGCTCGGCAGGGGCAGTGGGCAGCTGGCCGACCGCACGGGAGCAGCACGGTGGGCGGTGTTACCAGCTCAGGCCCGGGGTCCAGGCGCACCCTCACATTGGGGAGGTCTCCATGCACCCACCCTGGCAGAGCCGCAATTCCCTAGGGATACCCCCCCCCCCCTGTACTCCCCCGGGGGGGGGGGGGCATGATCTGGGTTTTCGCTGTCAATGCACCTCTGTCCGGACAGCGCGTTCTCAATTGCGATGTCACTGGCCACAGTGGCACTTCCTCTGATCCCACCTCCTCTGCTTCTCCATCGACTTCCCTCTCAAGCCTGCCATGTCACCTGCCTGTGTGACCTCGGAGGGGACCCTGGCCTGGCACCCTGCCCGTGGCCTGCTGCTCCTGCCGCCAGGCGCCACCCCATCGCCTCCTCTCCCGGCCTCACAAGGCCCTCCTGGCATGGGGGTGCCCAGGACCCCTCACCCAGACGTCCACACTCTTTCTTAGGGGCTCCCCTGTCAAATGGGTAAGCAGCCCGAAGCTCACTGTCCTCTGAGGTCAAAGCCCTTGGCAAACTCGCCCAACTTAAATCAGCTATGTCCGCCCTCCTCACCTCACGGCGCACACTATCCACTGGCCTTCTGCGGGGCACACCAGCACTCCGTACACTTTGCTGACGTGACAGAAATAGGTGTAATTCTGATTCATTCACTCTGCTGGCCGCTGTGCCGGCTGCTGCCTTCATTTCCCAATCGCAGGGAGGAGAGGCAGGCCCTGACGCAAGAGTGAGGTGGTGCGTGTTTGAGAAGCTGTTGCGGCACACCGGCTGGAAAGCCACCGGCTTACCCAATCCGCCAGTGAGTAAGGGGAGTAAGGGGAGCACGAGGCTCAATGACCCTCACGCAGGGGTGAAAGCGAGACCAGGAAGAACAAGGGCAAGTACTGCCAAAGGGCCCACAAGCCCTCTGCCTCCATCTGTGGCCGCTGAGCAGTCAGGAGAGGAGCCGGAGATGCTGAGCTGGCAGGTCTGACGGCCCGCCCGCCTCGCCCTCTGACATCTCAAACCCATAGGCACAAGCCTGTCTGGTGAGCAACGTGGTCCCTGGAAGCTGCGGGGCCTTCCTTTCCGAGCCAGAGTGCCAGTGAGCCCAGGGCAGCGAGCATTTCTCTGGTCCTTAACTGGGAAAAGGAGCCAGGGGCACGGCCATACTCTTCCCTGAGGCCTGGCAGCAAAATCCCAACCAGCAGCCTCCAGGGACATCCCAGTGCAGAGGGCGGGGTGCAGGGCGTTTGTGGCTGGAGGCCCAACAAGCCCAATGGCCTCGCCCCTTGGCACCCAGGACCAGCAGGACCCCCTCCACCTACCAAGGTGCCCAGGCGGGCGCTGGGTCTGGGGGAGTGCGGTGTCTGACTGCTGCCTGGAAGGAGGGAACAGGAAGGGAGAGGGAGGCGAGAAGAGACCACAGGCAGGAAGGTGGCCTGTTCACCCCGCTATTCCTGGCAGCGCCCAGAGGGCCCTAACAGCACCTGCAGGAGACAGACGGGCGGGCGGGGGTGGGGGGACGGGACGGGACGGGACTGGGGTGGGGGGGGGGGGACGACCAGCACCTCCGGTGGGGACTCACAGAGACAAGGGGATGTGAGCCGGGCTTCTCCCGCTTTCCCGTCCTCACTCCCTCCTCAGGCTCTGACCAAACAGACATCACGTCCAGCCATTCTGCACCAGAACCCAGAGAGAGGAGGAGGATAAATGGGGCAGAGGGCCGAAAATAAGGTTTACTCTGCACTAGACTCGGCCTTAAATATCAAAACAGATGCAATTCTCTGAACTCAGTTTGGTTTTAAAAGCAAAACAGTTCACAACGACCTGGGGAGAGGGGCCGTGCCAGCGGCGTGAGGAGGGGGCGTGGACAGCGCCGAGGACCCCCAGGTCCCCTGAAGGGGCTGCTTGTGCTGGGAGGAGGCCCAGGGCAGAGGCTGTGGGGCCATGTGGGCTGCAGGGCGGGAGAGGGAGAAGGCTGGTGGGGAAGGGGGGGGCAGGCAAGCGAGAGGACACCTCTTGGGGGAGGGGTGCGACACCACCAACTCAAAGGAGGTCCGACGAGAACAAGGCGGAAAGGCAAGGAAGGCGCTGAGCTGCATTCCCTCCGCCGCGGCCAGAAAACGTCACTGATCCTGAGACAGGATCCCAGGAGGGAAAAAGCTTTCTTCTCTGTCTCTCCCTTTTCCCCTTTTTAAAAATGTATTCTTATAGATTTCAGAGAGGAAGGGAAAGGGAGAGAGAGAGGAACATCAGTAAGAAGAGAGAATCATTGATCAGCTGCCTCCTGCACACCCCACACTGGGGACTGACCCCAAACCAGAGCACGTGCCTTGATGGGGAACTGAACTGTGGCCTCCTGGGTCGATGCTCAACCACTGAGCCACACCGGCCTTGAGCCACGCGGGCCGGGCCTTTTCCTTTAGTTGTTTGTTGTGCCTCCTCCGGAGCCCACCTCCACCGGATCCCCTTAGCCATAAGCTTGAGCCACTAGGGCGAGGCAGGCGCACCGGCCGAGCCTGATGCGGGAGTGCGTCCCCCTGGAGGGCTCGGCCTCCAGCCCAGCCGGGCACCGCCTGCAGGCAGAGGGCGGCCGCTCTGCCTGACCTGCCAGGTTCCCCAGGAAGCTAGGAATCTGAACCCACATGCTACCCCCTCTGTAAAGGTCAGCAGACCATTCAGTTGTCAAAGACACTGGAGGGTGAGGTGTTAACTGAAACCCACATGCCCTCCCAGAGACAGGGCCAGGGGGGCAGATCCCACAGGCCAGGGGGAGGCAGAGGGCCAGGCACGCTGCGGGGGCCTGCCCTGCACAGCGGCTGCCTGGCCTTGGCAATGCATGCTGGGACGAGGGAGGACAAGGGTCTGGCCGCTTGCCTCCTTGGGTCACAGCTTCTATCTGTCTCTGTGTCTTGCCTGACTCAACCTCACATGCCTGGCCCACGGGGAACATGACTGGGCAGCAGAATCTGGGCCCGAGGAGACTGCACTGAATCTGTGCCTTGGGGCCAGAGGCAGTATCTTTCTCGCCAGGGGCGGGGCGGGGCTGCAGAACGTCCAGGTGCAGAGGTGATGCTGGGAAGAGCCGAACTCAGGGCAGCCTGCCACGCTGTCCTTACAGGGAAAAGAGGAAAAGCAACCTTTGCCGGATGTTACGCAATGAGGGTCGTTGCCAGGACTGCTCAGGTCAAAAAACAGTTTCAACTCATGTCAGATCCTTTAAAGAATAAACTCGGGGTGGGGGTTGGGGGGTGGTGGGACAGAAAGCAAAACTCGGCACCTGCTAAGCTCGAGCTGCTTGGGTCAGAGTTAGGCTTGCAGCCCTAGAGTTGGTGGGGGCACCCC